TTATGAACACATGCTGAAGCTGCCTTGTTCTGAATCAGACCCTGGACACATCAACATCAGTCTTGTCTACTTGGATCAGCAGCAGCTCTCCAGGGTCTCATTAGATTGGGGACTTTCACATCACCTGCTGCCTGGTCGTTTCAACTGGCAATGCCAGGGCTTGAACCTGGGACCCTTTGCATGCCAAGCAGATCCTCTACAACAGAGCCACCATCCTGTCCCTTATCTCAGACTCGCTAGGAGAGTGGGTGCTGTTTGGTTCCTTTTAAAGTTAAACGTAAAGGTTCCCTTGCTCGAAAGCCAGTCGAATCCGACTCTAGGGTTGTGGTGCTCATCTCCGTTTCAAAGCCGAAGAGCCAGCGCTGTCCAAAGACTCCTCCGTGGTCATGTGGCCGTCATGACTAAACACCAAGGCAAACGGAATGCTGTTCCCTTCCCACCAAAGTGGTACCTATTTATCTACTTGCAATTTCTTGCTTTCGAACTGCTAGGTTGGCAGGAGCTGGAACTAGAGATGGGAGCTCACTCCATCATGCGGCACCCGGGTCTCGAACTGCTGAACTACCGACCTTCCACAGCTTGCAGTTTTATTCCGGTGTGTTGCCGTGTTGGTCTGAAGCAATAGACAAAAGTTTGAGTCCAGGGCGCACCTTCAGGGCCAACAAAGTTTAATTCTGGGTAGAAGCCTCTGTGTGCATGCACACTTCTTCGGAGACACTGAATGGAATTCCTGTTTCAGTGTCTGAAGAAGTGAGCGTGTGCACACAGAAGCTTCTACCCAGAGTTAAGCTTTGTTGGTGCCACTGGACTCAAACTTTGTTCTAAAGGCAGAAGGTGACTCTCTTGCACAGGTGCTTTGGAATGAGGGTGGGGAAAAATACCCATCATAATACAATACCAGCAGGGAGAGTGCCAACACTCCTCTCCTTCACGGGTGAGGGCCTGAACAAATTGTTTTAGAAATTAACTTGATTTTTTTTAAAAAAATGGCTCTCCTCGAAGTGGCTTTTGGCTTTCTTCTAGGGGAGAGGAGAGGGAGAATACGCAGCTGCTTTGTGTAGTCAGCTGTTTTATCCAAATACTAGAATTACTTCAGGGCTAGAGCAGGTCATGAAGTCAAGTTCTTGACTGCACTGTGAAGGCGTGGATTGCCTGCAGGAGTTGGAAATGGAGAAAGAGGAGCCGTGGAGGATGCACAGACCATTGCATGCCACTAAAATTGTCAGGAAGGGGGGGGCGGCTGTGAAAATGGCATATTTGGGGCTGGGCGATCTCCCCCCCCCCTGCTTGTTGTGTCCCTCATCTCCTTAAACTGTAGTGAAGAAGAGATTGGATTTATACCCCGCCCTTCACTGGGAGTCTGAGAGCAGCTTGCAGACTCCTTTCCCTTCCCTTCCCCACAACAGACAGACCCCCTGTGAGGTAGGTGGGGCTGAGAGAGCTCTGACAGAAACTGCTCTTTTTCAAGAACAGCTCTGACAGAACTATGGCTTGCCCAAGGTCATCCAGAAGCTGCAAGTGGAGGAGTGGGGGATCAAACCCGGTTCTCCCAGATCAGAGTCCACACACTTAACCACTACACCGAACTGGCGTAGTGATCTCGTTGTAGTTCTGGAAGCAGAAGCAATGCTTATTTCTCCGAATGCCTCCAAGCTTGTACGAGATGACTATTCATTCCTGCGCAGATGGATGAGGTTGCCTTCGATGGGCCGTGGGTCCGCCTGTCTCCATGTTGTATACTCTGACAAGCCGTGGCTCTCCCAGGATTAGATTTAGCAGGGCTCCTTTTTGAATAGGATTCCTCAGATTGAACCTGGGACCTTTTACAGGCCAAGTTGTTTCCGTTCTGAGGAGCTTTCCAAAGCCGTATCATTGGTTAGTCTGTGTCGGCCTACCCCTGGTCATAGGGTTAGGGTTATAAAAGCACTTAAGAGGGGTGGCAGGCTCTAGCAACCCCAGAGAGTGTGCTGCAGACCTCTGAGAGCAATTGGCAGAAATCGCCCGCCTTCTTGAGAAAACACCCGGACCTGGATGGTCCAGGTGAGCTGGATCTCATCAACTCTTGGGAGCTAAGCGGGGTCCGCTCCCGGTTAGTGCTCAGGTGGGAGACCACCAGAGAAGGCCCACCTGGGTCTCTCTGGAGAGGAAGGCAATGGCAAGCCACCTCTGAATGTCTCTGGCCTAGAAAACCCTCCAGGGTCACCATAAGTTAGCTGTGACTTGACTGCACTTCCCACCATTTCAGGAAAATAAGGGCAGCTGAGAAACTTGAACTGTATGGCTGAGTACAGGCCCATATCTTGAGACCAGCCAAAATGACACTGTGCCCAAACGGTGGGTCGGCCCCACCCGGCCTTTTCACTTCCTCCCAGCCAGGTTCCATCCCTAGTACAGCGACTGCCTCACATAACTTAAATATGCAGGTTCCATGATGCTCAGTGTAGCCTTGGGTGTGTGGGTGTGTGGGTGTGTGTGTCAAACATAGCCCCTCTTTCACCAACAGAAAATAGTTGTCTGTTGTGTTGATTTGCTCGCCCTTGTTATAACAAAAGCCACAAAATGTTTTAGGGGATTTTGCCAAAGAACAACGTAGCTACCTTTGTTCTTTGTTATCCCAAGGAACTGAAATTCCTTGCCTGAAGCAGCAACTTCTGAAGCCGGTAAGGGTCTGAGCTCCACCGTTGGGGTGGATGTTGAAATGAAATGATTGGTATCACGCAGGGTTCATAACTTATTAGCATAACGAATTTGCAGATGCCACACCCCCTGACATC